TGTGGGATCTTAGCTCCCTGACCAGGGATTGAACCCAAGCCCCCTGCATTGGAAGGCGAAGTCTTAACCGCTGGACCACCAGGGAAGTCCCGAAACCGTGCACCTCTAAGACCCAGGAGTGGGTCTGCTCCACGGTGGCCACACCGACATGAGGAGCACTCGGAGGGGTGGAGTAAAGAGCAGAAGGGTGTCCCTGTGCTTCTCGAAACATAAAAACAGCTTTCGGGACTTCCCTGGTGGCTCAGTGGTTAAGAATCCACCTGCCAACGCAGGGGACACAGGTTTGATCCCTGGTCTGGGAAGATCCCACATGCCGCAGAGCAACTAAGCCCACAAGCCACAAGTACTGAGCCCGCGAGCAGGGGACACAGGTTTGATCCCTGGTCTGGGAAGATCCCACATGCCGCAGAGCAACTAAGCCCACAAGCCGCAACAACTGAAGCCTGTGCACCCTAGAGCCCGCAGGCTGCAACTACTGAGCCCATGTGCCGCAACTACTGAAGCCACGCACCTAGAGCCCACGATCCACAACAAGAGAAGCCACCGCAATGAGAAGCCTGCGCACTGCAATGAAGAGTAGCCCCCGCTTGCTGCCAACTAGAGAAAGCCCACACGCAGCAACAAAGACCCAACGCAGCCAAAAATAAGTAAATAAAATTAATAACTTAAAGAAAAAAAAAACAGCTTTCAGTGCATCTCGGCTCAACCCAATAAAAGGCAGGGACAGCGGGCTTCCCTGGTGGCGCAGTGGTTGAGAGTCAGCCTGCCAATGCAGGGGACACGGGTTCGTGCCCCGGTCTGGGAAGATCCCACACGCCGCGGAGCAGCTGGGCCCGTGAGCCATGGCTGCTGAGCCTGCACGTCCAGAGCCTGTGCTCTGCAACGGGAGAGGCCACAACAGTGAGAGGCCCGCGTACCGCAAAAAAAAAAAAAAAACAGGCAGGGACAGCATTCATCACCTATGGAATGTGGCTTAGAAAATCTCCAGAGCTCAAGTAATGCCAATCGAAGGAGGAATCAGGAACTAAGTAATCAACTGTTTCTACACACACTTGTCGTGTGTGTGTATGTACTCTTTTGAACTGACAAATGCTGTGCAAACGTGACTGACTAATAAAGCCTAGATGTGAATGCTTACGCTCCATTTTGCAATAGGAAGGCTTTGAGGCTTCCACTCTGCCTCAAGAAGCGATAAATTTTAAAATGCACAGCAACATGGTGATCTTGCTTTGGTACAACCCAAAAACCCTAAGCTGCTGCAGACACCCAGCCCGTCTGTGCAGCTGCCCTGGAGTCGCCGCTCAAGAGTGACCCTGGTTGTGCCAAGCCACGGAGGACGCTGCAGCAAAGTGCAAACCAGCAAACGCCAAGGAGGTCAGCTCGCTCTCGGGGCCGAAGCTGCCTCGTGCTGTGAGTGAGAGGCCCTATCCATGCAGCTTCTCGGTCTTGCTCACCCACAAAAGCGGAAGCCAGCAGGAGATACGTACGGCAGGTGTAAACATCTCTGTATTCCATGTGCTCGTAATCGGGAAGAATTTTCATGAAACGGCCCGACTTCACACGAGGGTTTATACCTGAACAGACACAGCAGGGAAAGGGCTGAAGATGGTTCTGCCTCCTCGACTGTAAGAAACCATTTTCACAGGACTCAACACCTGTCCCTCACCGACATCACAGGCTTCCCTACATCCTCGACCCCCAGCACCAAGCGGTTGCCAAGGAGGCAGTCCTGGCCAGAAGGCACTGTGGTGACAGGTGTTCCTGTCAGTGATCCACACCAGGAACTCATGATGGCAGGCCCGCTCGGGACCCCCTCCAGGCTCTCTCCCCATCACCCACCACAATCAGCGGGGCTCACCGAGGTGGGAGGGCAGAGGTCGCAGCTCACAGATATTTGGTGTGGCTGTGCAGGGAACCCTGTGTCCCAACTAGGATCCCCAGCTCGCCCGCTGCACACCTGGCACTGTCCTTCACCTGCTGCACGTGTGTGCTTTGTTTTTGACAAAGGACGGTGTTTGCCAGCCTCCTAACTCCATCAGACCGCTTCACCCCTGGGCTGAGGGAGCTGACTCTACCATCTAGGCAGGAACTAGGGGCGGCTGTCCTCTACCACCCATTCCAGAAGCTGAGCGATGCTCTCCTGGATAAGGCCTTCAAAGAAAATTCACAAAAACACAGCTCCAGCACTGTGGAAATGAAAACTGAAGCTTGCTTTGGCCGGGGCAGACCCAACGCTCAGGGGTGCTGATAACAGATAATATGAATCAGTCTCTGGATTTGGCAACCATGTTCAAGGGGTTAAGAACCAGCAGTCAAAGAAGTCTCCAGATGTCCTCCTTTGCCTCACGGTGACCTCACCGTGGCCCTTGTCCCCTCTCCCTGGCCCACCTGCACCTCCCCCTCTCTCCTACTCACCTGCCCATCCACCTGTGCCCAGACGTCCCCTCCACAGGACAGATGCCCCCAAGGCCCGGGCAACCCCTCTGCCCACAGCTGAGATGAGCTCTGTGGGAGCCTTCGTTCTCACATGTGTTCTCCTCTGGGTGCTTCAGCCCCCAACACCTAGCAGGTACGAGCACCTGCCTCCCTCCAGGAGTATTTTGAGGGCTTACAACTCTTAGACAGAACTCAAGTGGCTTTGAGATGATATCATCAAATGGCCTAACAAACTCAAAAAGCAGTGAGATGATAAGGACTTCTCATATTAGATCCTCATGGAAACAGCTGACCATCCCCAAAGCCGGGAACCTCTCGTTTCTGTGCGCTCACAGGGACTCCTATGGGGAGTGTGCCTCTGACTTGGACACGACGCCCATAACGAGGGCGGCCTCCTGGATTCTCTGCTCTGGGAGACTTAAGACACGGATGCTGGGGAGCAACACTGAAGCAGAGAGTGGAGCGGGGCCCTGGGGCACCCCCAGGATGGAGGGCGGGAGGGGAGGGAAGGGGACACAACCACCTTTCCAGCCCTGGAACTCCGGGCTCTGCAAGGTTCAAAGTGGCACTGTTCTCACCACTGAGACCACAAGACAGGAAGGAGTTACATTTTCACGAGACGTGACCACTCGGGCCCCAAGACCCACTTCCCCTGGAGACACGCATTCTCTTGGGTGGGTGGGACATGAAGCAGAGGCCAGAGAAGAAACCAAAGTGCGAAGCTGCACAGGGAAGGAGGCACGGGAGGCCCTGCGCAGAGCAGCCCTGCCCTGGGCTTCAGGACCAAGGACAGCAGCACGGGGCTGGAGTGGGGCGCTGGGTTGGGATGGCATCTGAGGGTGGCTGAGGATGCAGCCCGAGCCCCTCGGCAAGTGGGGAGAAGGGGATACTGGGAGGTGGCAGAAGTGGGGCTGGGACACACAGGGCTCCCAGAGAAGGTGGGAGGGGGCAACAGCCTCGAAGGCACAGCCAAGCGCCAACATCAAGAACCACACGTGCCCAGGGCGGCCGGGGAAGGTCCACGAAGAACTTAGAGCCTCCAACAGGAGATCTCCCCACTCGTGAGCAAATTCTAACCCAGGAACACTGGCCAATCCAACACCCCAAATGGCCACGGGATCGAGGTGGAGAGAAGTCTGATGGGATGAAGAAATCAGCCCAGATTCAGGGACTAACCGCGTCCCCCCTGGGCTGTCTCCCCACAGAGCTGATGCTCCGCAGAAGTCCACACTCTACCTGTGCGGGGGATGCGGGACACAGGAGGAGAGGCGTCTCCCAGGGGGACTCTGAGAGCAGCAAATCCACTGAAAAGAGGGAACACAGCAAGCGACACCAACGAGCAAGCCCCTGACACTGGAAGGAAGCCTCCAGCACGCTGGTTCCCGCCCAGCAGCCTGGCCCCCGGGAAGTCCCTCCATCCTGAATCACAGGTTTTTCCGAAGTAAGAAGCATCATCTGGTCTAGGTATTCAGGGCAGAACTGGTGCAGAGTTCAAAAGAATGTGTAAGCCAGGGCTTCCCTGGTGGCGCAGTGGTTGAGAGTCCGCCTGCCGATGCATGGGACACGGGTTCGTGCCCCGGTCCAGGAAGATCCCACATGCCGCCGAGCAGCTGGGCCCGTGAGCCATGGCCACTAAGCCTGCGCATCCGGAGCCTGTGCTCCGCAACGGGAGAGGCCGCAACAGTGAGAGGCCCGCGTACCGCCAAAAAAAATAAAGAATGTGTAAGCCAAAATCTACCAAGATGGTTTTAAGATGAACACTTAAGGTCCTTTTCAGAGAGGTCAACAGGTCAACCTCAGGCCAAACAGCAGTGGGCCGTCATGATCCTTCTTGCCCCGTCCTTTACTACCCAGCCCCGAGTGTTAACAACACACACCAGGCCCCGCTGGGCAGGGACAGGCAGGCTGCTCCCCACGGGACAGTGTACCCACTGCCCCTGGGCGATGTCAGTGCCAACGGACACCCTCACAGCCTCACGCAAAGGGCCCTGATGAGGAAGGGCCAGCAGAGAGGTGCTTGGGGCCGGGGGCTCTAGGCATCACGGAGCATTGCTGGCGACTCTGGAAAGCAAAGGGGCGGGGACAAGAAATGGGGGCGCTGGGAGACTCAACGTGCCTGCAGGAAACGAGCCAAGGAAGGGCTGGGGCTGGTGCGGTCAGGGTGGCGGGGAGGGGCCCTGGCAGCTGTCACGGCTGCATGTCACAGTCGCTCCTGGGGTCCACGTCTCCAACCAGGCTGCGGGCCTGGGATCTAGAGAGACGGGCACCTCCAAGCACATCAGAGTCGTTTCCAGGGCAGCCACGTTCCCCAGAGGAAAGATACCTTCATCCACCTGCGCTGCAAAATCAGGGTCGTGATTCACTCAGAAAGGGAGAAGAGAGCCCCCGACCTTTTCAGTGCTGCTACTACCAGCGCTGTCTCTACAATGTCAAAGCTGAATTTAAAGGGTATCTGAGAACAGACCTGTGGGCTGAGGGCCATGGACTTTTATTTTCCGTGGCTGACGTCTCTGAGCACCTGCTTCTGGAACAGGTTAACAGAAGATGGTGACAGATTAACTTACACTTCGCGTAGACGTCTCGACAAGACACGCCCGTGATCTCCAGCTTCCTCAAGTTTTCACAAACACCGTACTCTGCAACAAGAAACGTTTGCTGGAAATTACAGTCAAGAAGTCATAAAGCAGCAGAAATATTAATAGACAGACGTGCGGGTGGGGGTGGAGCAGGCATGCCTCAGCCTTGGCCTTGTCTTCTCAGCCTGACCCTTCTTTCACTGTGGAGATTTCATGGGCCCTCTCCACATTCAGTCAACACCCTCACTCCCCAATGAAGCCGCTACTCTATTTTTAGGCAACTCCACTCCGAATGAAATAGCAACCTGCCATGTCTATTCTGATAAGCTCTAGAAACCTAATCACTCAAACCCACAACCAGACATCCTGGTTTATGACCACGGTGTGGCAGAAACTCAGAGTCTGGAGACGATGCGAGTTCCCATGGAAATGCGACCATCACTGGTGTCAGGGTTCCACGAAGGCCCCCCAACCCCCTCCTGATTCTGTGAAACGAAGACACAGCTGGGGCTTCCCAGGACGGCCCTGAAGCAAATCCCTGACACCCACCTCCACGGCCAGCGCTCTGCCCCACCTCCAGGAGAGAAACCCAGGCGTGGAGAGGTTGGTGACTCAGCAGTCCTTCCAGAAGGGGACTGCAGTCTGGCCAGCAAAAGGCTGTCCACCTCATCACATCACAGACCCCACCCTGGCCGCAAGGCCTGGTCTTTTCAGTGGAATGGATGATGACACTAACCCAATGCTTCTGTGAGGCCAAGCTCAAGATGCAGACGGTGGAGAAACCAGTTGGGGCAAGGCGGTTAGCACCTGGCAAACCTCCCTGAGATGGGCCTGCCCGACGGTGCTGCTTCCACTGTTGGTGAGCAGACCATGGCCTTGCTCGTCACCAGACAAAAACACACGTTTTATCCTCCTGCCAGGAAGAACGTGGACTCCACTCTGGAGTGTTATGCAAGTTACAAGAACTTGTGAGGAACTAGATAACAAAATGTGCTTGTTTGTGACCTTGGACGGGGTGACACCTGCATGTCACATGAGTCACCAGCAACTGAGAGCCCCTGGTTTGTCAAAATCCTTGCAGACCATGCCAGGGACCAGCTGGAAGGGCCACTCCCGCCCTGGGTGGCGACCAAGCTGGAGCTGGTCTACCCGTGCTCTTGAGAAGAGCTCTGCTCCACAACGAGCTGTCTTCATGATTCCCCATCTGCTCTGGGATGTCCACCACGGCCAAGTGGCCCTCCTGACGACCACAGTGGCTGTCACCACCTCGTGTGCTCTCCATAAACAGTGTCCTTCCCTTGCACCAACCAGGCACTCCAAAACCGTCACCGCACAAGACTGGTGCCTCGGATTGTTTCCTATGTGATGCTAAAGGACAGGTCCTCTCCCGGTTCCAGCAGCGACCAGCGCACGGGATAGACGAGATGCACCTCTTGCTGCCTCGTTGACGAGACAGTTTGGGAGCCAGGGTAGGGGTGGGGCGGGGGGCAGTCTTCTCTGAACTGCGCGCTTTTGTGATACATGTGGACACTCTGCCGGTGAGATGCAGGGCACAGACCCAAGGCGCATCCGAGTGTGCCCCGGCGGCCTGCAGCACACTGAAGCAGCAACGTTGCCCCACAGCACCTGCCGACCCAGTGGGTGATTTTCGCATCTGAGCCCAGCGATCCTCCCACCTGCTAGAGACAACGCACCACCTCCCAGCACCCACTCAGACTTGCAAGCGATTCTAAGGTTTTTAGCCAGGATGACCAAATTTTCAAGAATCTCTGCACATCGTGTCAAGAAAGGGTGCTGGTAATATCACACAAGAGATGAACCTGCACGAGCAGACAAACCATCCACAGAAACGCCACTAACAATCAGAAGAAAAGCAAAAGTACGATGCAGTGCTAATAAATACAGCAATGCTTAGTCGGTTTTTCTTAATGTTCCCAAAAGATAATAAATTCACCGAAGCGGAACAATGTCATTCTGACCCAACTGCTCCTTCAAGAAATGTTCAGTATTTTTCACATGATGGAAAAATCTTTTTTTTAAAACAGTGGCTCGGAACAATTCCACATACTCTGACTGTTCCATAAACCTTCCCATAAGTCATCAGGGAAAGTGCCCTTAAAATAGCATTAAGGCCAGTGTACATGCAGAACCACGGATCCTTCCCCCTAGAAAAACTCACCAGTGTTAACGCCGTCCTACCCAAGACCAGCATTAACGCCGTCCTACCCAAGATGGTTAAAGTTAGCACAGCAAACCGTGCTGCCCACAGCTGCTTTTTAAGTGCCAAATTTGGGTTGCAGGCTGCCGATTCAACTACTTTCCTTGCTAATCTATGACATAAAGTAGCTTGTGAAAGTCTGTTTTGAAAGTGTCTACTCCAAAAATGGCAGCAAGTAAAAAAAAAAGTTGGGAAGGGGGAGAAAAGTGGGTCAGCTGGACTTGAGGAAATTTAAATTAACCATGGAATTACCATATGATACAGCTATATCCTATTTCTGGGTACGTACCCAAAAGAGATGAAAGCAGAGACACAGAGATGTTTGTACACCCATGTTTACAGCAGCACTACTCACAATAGCCAAGAAGGGGAAGCAACCCAAGTGCCCATCGATGGATGATGGGTAAGCAAAACAGGGCCCATCCACACGACGGAATATTATTCAGCCTTAAAAAGGAAGGAGAGCCTGACACCTGCTATAGCCTGGCCGAACCTTGAGGACGTTGTGCTGAGTGAGATAAGCAGTCACAAAAGGACAACATTGTATAATTCCACTTATATGAGGTCCCTATAGAATAGCCAAATTTCACAGAGACAGAAAGTAGGACAGTGAGTGCAGGGGCTGAGGAAGGGAAAACGGGGAGTCAGTGTCAGCTGGATAAGACGGAAAGGTTCTGGAGATGATGGGGGTGATGGCTGCACAACAATGTGAACGTACTTAATGCCAGTAAACTGTAGCTTAAAAATGGCTAAAGTGGTAAATTTTATTTTGTGTGTACGTTACCACAATAAAAAAATTAAGTTGCCACTTCAAATACTCCAATCAGAAGATTTCCAGAAAGTTACTGAACAAATGTTTTGCCAAGACGGAAAAAGAGCCCAGGAATCTGGGCCAAGTCGACACTAAAGCTCCATCCTCTCTCTGGTGACCTGACTGCCAGGGGCGCTCTTCCTGTCCAGTGAGGTCAGTACTGTGTGACGGTCGTTACCGAAAACCCCTGCACCCAGAGCATGTGTCTGAATGTGCAGGAAGTCTATTCAGTCTCTGCGGGTGGGAATGGGCGAGCAGAGTTTTCTCTCTCCCTCTTTTCCACTCTCTTGCCCCTACAGGAGAACCTAAGGAACCCACGCTGCTTCCTGAGGCTCCTTCCCTCGAAGAGAAGATTAACGGAGATTAACGGAGGCAGTACCCGTGCCAGCCGCGGCTGAGATGTGCACACTCTCTGCATCGGAATGGAAGATGGCAAAGTTCACATCATAATTCTACGCACTGCACCAGCCTTGGTACCTGCAATTAGAGGGAACTTAGCCCCATGCTCGCCATAAATGCCACTTATGAGGGTCCCTGCCACGTTGGAAGGGCACAGCACTAAGACAGTCTCTGAAGCAAGCTGCTGGGCACACAAGATAAGGCTGGAAAGGGGGTGGTCTCCTGGTCCTGCCAGAGCCGGGAGTCCACAGGAAATGCAGAAGCACTGAAGAGTCTCAGGTAGAAAAGCAGCCTGGACTGGCTGACCTGTGGGTGGAGCCAGCGGAGACACACCTGGAGACGCAGGTGCGGGCTCCCGTGAGGAGGCCACTGCACCACCAGGTAAGGCAGAGGTGGCAGGAAAGGATGGGGGAACCCAGCTGGAACCCAGCTGTGGTCCCCGGCAGGCAGGAGAGAGCGGGAGAAGGAAGAGTGGAGGAGCGCTGCGGGCTTGCTTCCCACCCGCCGAAAACTCACAGTTTTCCAAATAAAACCAAAAGGCAGTATTGATTGCAAATTTAGCGCATTTTTGTTTGCACTAAATTAGGGGATAATTATATTCCTTAATAAAACATGGTTAAAACTTTACTTCCAAGAGACTTCCCTGGTGGTCCAGTGGTAAAGAATACGCCTTCCAACGCAGGGGATTCGGGTTTGATCCCTGGTGGGGGAACTAAGATCCCACATGTCACGGGACAACTAAGCCCACACACCACAACAACTGAGCTCGCGCACCTCGATGAGAGAGCCCGCAGGCCACAAACTAGAGAGCCCACGCGCCCTCGAGCCTGCGCACCACAACTAGAGAGAGAAAACCCGCACGCCACAACTAGAGAGAAGCCCTCACGCCACAAGGAAGAGCCCGCACCAAAATGAAAGATCCTGCGTGTTGCAACTAAGACCCAACGCAGCCAAAAGAATAAAATAAATAAGGAAAATAAAAAAATAAAACCTTTACTTCTGAGGCCGAAAAAGGAGGCAGAGGCAGGGGTGGGAGCTGGTGGGGAGGGGGCTCCACCAGCCTCAGGGGTGTCAGGCAACTGGCCCCCAGGCTTCCTGACACAGCTGCTCCGAGGACACCCCTGCGACAGCACAGTGCCGCTTCCAAACCCCTGTGTGTCCCCCAGCTCGCTGCCTTCCTTAGCTATTACTATAACTGCATGTAATACTATAGCTATTACTATAACTGCAGCTAATACTATACTATAACTATAGTAATAGCTAAGCTATATTACTATAACTTAGCTATTACTATAACTGCCTTTTTTTTTTTTTAATAATGTAGCAGATCTGGAAAAACACTGTGCAGCCAGCTCATCTTAGGATGGGAAGAATGTAAAAACCAAAACCTGGATACAGCCCATAGGCTGTAGGCTCCTACTCAACACATAGAATATGCGGGATGCTAACCGATAGTTCCCAAGGACAGCTGGCAGCACCTACACACTCCATGCGACTTCTTCCCAACCAGCTCCACCCCTGCAAAGATGAACAGTCCTGGGGCCAAGAGCAGCCTCGAGAAGCCTCGCCCTGCCAGCCAGAGGATGGTGACCCTGTCCAGCTCCACGACAGGTATCCCTGGCCGAGGGGGCT